GGTCTTCAGTTTTCTGCGTAATTACCGCAAGATTCTCACAATGTAATTAGATGACCTAAATAGCTCGATTGTCACTATTTCAAACAAGTTGAAGGTTTGAGGGAGTACTTCTAGGAGGAGTAGAGAAGAAGGAAATTATCTCATATACCTCTACGACCGCTAGCATTCGTAAACGTCGAATAGAGACTCCAGATGTGGCAATTGTGCAAAGATCTCAAGATCGTATAGTAATCTGGAGAAATATTTCAGAGTACGCCGTTGCCCCCAACCAAGAAGTTTCCGCATCGGCGTCGTACAGCTAGTAAGTATCGATCAAAAATTAGGATTTCATCAAACACAAATCACGATATTTCAGGTGATACGAATGTTGGAAGGGCTTCCAACAAAGGGTGATTGGTTAAGGGTATATTGCAAAATTATTTTGTGCAACAGATAGTTTCTAGGGCAGCGGACGAAATTAGGAAAGCTTTCGAGATGATATCAGAGATAGGTGATATACCCCAGACATCTGAGAAATGGACTTACATGTCACCAGCAAAAACCCTAGAAATGAAAAAATTTCGTGCAAATCAGGTAATAACTTATGCACATTGTACACATCGTACAGCTAAGCACTTGAGCTCCTTTGATTATAACATTTACAGATAAGAAATTTTGTTGAAAGCACCCTTATAAAGGGTCCTATTGGATTGGCACTAGAATTTCGGCAAATGAAACGATCCAATGACTTTTCAAAAATGAAGGAGTTTTTGAAATTCAACAAAATTGGGAAGAATCGCTATAAAGTAGACAAAATTTTCGCTAATAAGTTCTCTTATCATTCTTGAGAATTTTTAGGATGTTGGCTGTCTCGACAGTAATCGAGTTGAACTTTCATTTGGTCCCTGCACTTACATTCATGCGAATTACGTGTCAACGCCAAGTAACCCAAAAAAATTTATCTGCACTCAGGTAAGTCCTGCGTTAATCGTGAACATCGACGCTATACCATTAAATTCTAACATAGGCACCTTTGAAAGGGACTTGCTCAGAATTCTGGTGCATGGTTGTTCAGGAACAAGCTGAAATAATACTCATGCTATGTAACTTTGTAGAACAGGTACATATAACTTAGTGGAGACGGTTGTAGATGCTGTGTTTGTACAACAAGTCTAGTG